TCTCGGTTGTGTCCCCAGGAAGAGAGGTGCAGGGAGCTCTGTAGCTTGTCAAGCCTCTCTGTTAGCATTTAAAACCCTTCTTTATTAAGTCAATGCCATGAGCCAGATTTGCACTGCACTTCCCTAGGGCTCTGAGCTGAAGCACTGGGGCCAGTTGACAGTTTTCCATTTAAACTGGACAGCTTTCATTCCTGGGGAGCAGTGCACCTCCTGTCCCTGGGTCAGCTGTAAAACCCAGCCTTGTACTCAGCCTGCCACGGCTGAGCTCATTCTCCCCGACTGGGTACTCAGTGCAGTGAGTGCTAACTCAACCCCAGCTGAGCCATCCATCCAGATTTCCAGGGATGTAAAAGACCAGATCCAGCTTTGTTATCACTACGATGGCCCATGTTTGTAAAGCACCTGCCACCCTGGGACGGTGGCATGGTGGGCCCTGGTATCTGGGAAGGGAAAAGCAATGACACTGGCTTCCTTATCTCTAGGAGCAGCACACTGCGTTTGCACCCATGCAAAGAGCCCACTTACTGGTTATTGGTTTGGCAGGCACCAAGAACAGTGCCAGCAAACAATAGGTCTGTGCCTACACATCCGCTGAAATCCCCACACCCTCCTCCTGACATTCCTACTCCAGCATCTCTCCCTGCTCAGCCACTAATGCACCACCATCTCCTGCCCTCTGCGGTACTTCCCTCTTCTCCAAGCAGCTTCAGCTGTTTCAATGAAAACCTTTTGGTGACCCACTGTAATCAACCAGACAATTACTTGAGGAATAAAGCACTCCCGGGTGCAAGCAAAGACAGTTACAAATCTCATCCCAGGCCTTCAGCCACAGATGACTCATCCGCCTGCAAATATCAAACTCCACTGACCTGGTGGCTCCTTTTTGTTTTGGGAGAACGGGAAGAAGCTGAAGAAAAAGAAAACAGCAAAAGCAAGAGACACAGAAATGAAAAGCTTGGACCCAATGACAGAGAGGTCCAATGAAGTCCACATAACCGGAAAGTGCCAGCCTTCCTCCCTTGTATTTATAGACATTATATCAGCCTGCTGGAGCAGCTGCCTCTCCCATGCCTGCCTCTTACTGGCTGATGTAAAGGGCACGGCCTTACATTGAAAGGGTTTGAATCGCATGGCCCTGAAAACTAATTTTAAAGAACAAGGCCTGATTCCCACTTGAAGCAGCCTTAGTGTACGTCACTGGCAGCATAAAAGTGCCTTGAAGTGAGTGTGTCTCCCCACACACAGAGGGCCACTGTGGCTGATTTGAAACTGCAGCTCTGCCATTAGCCCACAGCATAGGAAGTGGATGAGGGCTGTAGCTGCAGTGTACCACACTAGCCCATAGGAAGCAGACAGGTCAGGGCATCTTCACATTGCTCCAACTTACACCAGGAGTCTGGCAAGGCACAGCCACAGAATACAGGAGATGCCAAAGTGGCTTCAATCTGCCTTCAATCCCTCCACCCGAGTGCAGAAAAATAAATGTCATCGCTCTGATGTGCCATTATTTTATTTCTTTTGTAAATGGTTAATTTCAACTGCTCAGCAAATTCAAGTTACAAACAGAACGGCCTCTTGGATTCTCACGGCAGAAAGCACCCTCGTGATTTGAACAAACAGCAGGACCGTATAGAATTCTGCTGGAACTTGCACACAGGCTCCTCCCCGGGGAGTTGGGGCTCGCCATTCATCACATGAAAAGAAGCCACCAGTTAATGGCACTCCCAGTTCAGCTAAGGATTTCTGATCACCTGGAGGCAAATAATTAACCAGACCGATTCATGGGCATGACTGAGCAGCCAGAAATCATAAGGACAGTGGTTATCATTTCACTGAAGTGCTTTGTAATGAAGGGCAGTGCCCTAGGGTCTGGTACCACCCCACATAAGGAAAGAAGGGGTCAGGAACATACCAAGTTTTCCTCATTTTCATGACTCCTCCAGCTGAAATGTATCTTAAGGAAGTTTCAGCAGAAGTGTGTTACTGAAAAGCATCTGGGCTGGCCTATTCCCAACTGAAGAGCGCAGGATAATGTATTGGGGTTGAAAAAATTTTTCAATCAAAAATGTAATTTTTCAGCCAAATAAAATTAATTTTTGAGGATCAAGTGTTAAAATTGAACTGTTTTCACAATACATTTTGATTTTGAAGAAAGCTGAAAACTCTTAACCAGCTGTGAGATTTGTAGAGCACCCAAATGATAGGGCCTTTGAAGACAAACACAAAGACAAAAAATACACAGCAGGCTAAAGGCTTGTTTCCTCTCGTGTTGCAGTGGCATTAGGTGTAGTTTGTATCAGTGTCACTTTTGAGAGTAGACAAGCAGACCACACAGTTATTGCTGTCCGGCCTCCGGTGTGGACACACTCACTCTGCTAGGAATGCCTTCTTCTGGTTTAAACAAAAGACAGGACAATGTAGCACTTTAAAGACTAACAAGATGGTTTATTAGATGATGAGCTTTTGTGGGCCAGACCCACTTCCTCAGATCAAATAGTGGAAGTTTAGTTTGTGTCACTGGGGAACAGGCTTAAGATAAAAGAACATTTTAAAAAAGCCTCACTCAGGCCAAACTAAAAGTAAACCAGCAGAGTCCCCAGGTGCACGAGGCAAATCGTGCCTGTGCTAGTTCCTAGAGAGCACCCAGAGCGCAGCGGGTAGGTGCTTAGGGTCTCCATGGCTCTGAGCGCGCGAGGGGCTGGGCCCCAGTTCCCTTGGGGGTTTGTTCTTTAATTTCACTCTTCGTGGGCAGCGAGTTTTGAGGCGACCCTGGAGGCTCCGTCCCGCCGAACCTCCTAACCCAGCTGCACCCCGGGGGGCGCGGGGCAAGTGCCACCAGCAGGCAGCGTCACCCCCGGG